AGTGAAATAAATAGAAAAAATGTAAATTAAACTATTGTATTGGTTAGCTTATGTATAAATTCAAGTGAGAAACATTGTTTTAACTTTCTGTGTTAAATATTTAAGAAATTTCGATTTCGAACTTGTGAGTAAAATAGGCAGTTTTCGTTTAATAAATAAAAGGTTTTTTATGATATGAAGATATGATGTATATCATGGTGTAGATATTGTTTTGTACTACCTATATTGATAAATTGTATTTGTATATGATTTGAATAAATAAAGATATTGAGTGAAACGTGAGAGAGTAATAGTACAAATTCATGTAATTAAGTTGCGCAAGCGCGCAGATGGCGCGGCTCACTTTCGCGTTTAGCTTAGGGGTAGGATAGTAAATTGATTTTATTGCAATTCGTTCGGGAATCGTTCGGGAATCGTTCGGGAATCGTTCGGGAATCGTTCGGGAATCGTTCGGGGAAGTTCGGGAATCGTTCGGGAAATATTCAAGGAAATAGTTCGGAAATAAATAAGAAAATCCGGGAAAAAGTTCAAGAAAAGTGAAAAACCAGCAGTATAGGGAAAAGTGATTACTCTCTCACGGAACGGTTTGAAGATAATTGCTGTTTCATTCCCAAGATCCTTTAAGTTATACAGTCCACATCGAAGAATTAAGGCGTCGGGACCGGGACGACTTCGGAAGACCCGTAATCCCCGTCTGAACCTACTTGCTGAAAAGGAAGAGGTTATCGCCCTAGTGTGTTACTCCGTTGCGGAGATCACATACGTTGTTCCCGAACCCAACGTAGGCGTGATAGGAGGCCGGATCGAGAGAAGCCTCGATTCCTGTTTCTTAGTACCCGATCCGCTAGATCCTTTTCAATTGGTCCTTTTCAGGATCAAGAGGGAAATCCGACCTGGTCCTTTTCATAAATTAACTTATTTGCGTAACCCAATAGATATGCTTCGTATTGCCTCTAGCATATTTGACTCTTATTTAAATTTTAATACTAAAATTTACAGACAAACAGATAAGAGCCGTAGCTCAGATGGTTAACTCTCAGAGCTCGCTGTAAATAAAACAGAACGCGACTAACCCGGGTTCGAGCCCCGCTGGCACCAATGAAATTGTTAATTGCAATTTTAAGTGCTGATTTACCACGTGCTCGACGGTGATGGAAAACATCGTGAGAAAACTTGCGTGTCTGAGGAATAAGAAAAAAAAATATTTCGAAGACATGTGAGTTCGCCAACACGCATTGGGGCAGCGCGGCGGACACTTCCTTGCCCTAAAACCCTCTCAGGAATGAGGGAAGGCCTGTTCCCAGCAGTGGGACGTATATAGGCTGTAACTTTTTACAGACAGCTATAAAAACGAAACTTTCCGCCCACTAAAATACGAAATGTTGTATTTTTTTAAGAGTAATAAATTATTGATATCAATAAAATAGTATAAAGAGCGAATATACGTAAACAACTTAAGATCTATATATTTAAGAAACTGAAAGTAATATGAAAAGTAAGTTAATGACATATGTTAAGGATTGCAATAAAGCTATTAATCGCACTGATTTGTAATTGGACGCAGAGTACTTAAAAGCCGCTCAAAGAGCGATCCGTTAGATGTTCAAACTGTCATCATCATCATCATCATCATCACAGCCCTTCACAAGTCCACTGCTGAACATAGGCCTCCCCCAAGTAATGCCACAAAGCACGGTCCTGAGCCACCTGCATCCATCGACTTCCTGCATATCTTACCAGGTCGTCACTCCATCTAGTGGGGGGTCGCCCTACACTACGCCTACCGGTACGAGGCTGCCACTCGAGAACCTTTCTTCCCTATCGGTTATCGGTTCTTCGAGCTATATAGCCGGCCCATTGCCACTTCAGCTTACTAATCCGTTGGGCTATGTCGGTCAATCTGGTTTTACTGCGGATATCCTCATTTCTGAGTCTATCACGCAGAGAAACTCCGAGCATAGCCCTCTCCATAGCTCGCTGAGCGACCTTGAGCGTCCTCATACGGCCAGCAGTGAAGGACCACGTCTCTGATCCGTAAGTCATCACTGGCAACACGCACTGGTTGTACACTTTAGTTTTCAGAGATTGAGGTATACCTGACGAGAAGATATGTCGTAATTTCCCGAACGCTGCCCAGCCGAGTTGAATCCGTCGATTGACCTCTCGGTCGAAGTTGGACTTACCTAGTCGGAATATTTGTCCCAGGTAAACGTACTCGTCAACAACTTCGAGCATAGTGCTCCCAACAACTACCGGCATAGGTGTGACATGGACATTAAACATAATCTTTGTTTTGTCCATGTTCATCTTAAGACCTATCCGTTGGGAGGCACTATTGAGGTCATTGAGCATAGTGCTTAAGTCCTCCAGCGATTCTGCCATAAGGACTATATCGTCGGCAAATCGAAGGTGAGTGATGTACTCGCCATTGATGTTAATACCGTATCCTTTCCAGTCCAGTAGCTTGAAAACGTCTTCCAAAGCAGCGGTGAAGAGTTTCGGGGACAGTTTTTCAAACTGTAGCTAAACGTAATACTCCGTCTGATCCTGGATGCAATTCCACAACGCGAACCCGACAACCGAGGCCAATGTAATGGAATGACATTATTAGTTTTTATGATATATTATATTAAAGTCTAGGTTTACAATGAGATTTCCATTTCGCCTGTTGAGCTAATGATTGTAAATATTCAACCTTCCAATGTTTCTAAAAATCCTAATGAAAATTTTGCATAAATTCCCATCGACTCAAACTGTTGATTTTAACGGTTGTAAGATCGTCATCTAGAACTGAGGTTAATAGAGATGAGGCTCTAATGTTAGAAAATGGCCAGGAGTTTACACATTGTAGTCGTTAGGATCAGAGCTTAAGGGGCAAAGGGAGCGTGTGTTGAAAATCGACTAAATTTGTACCAAGAGCGTTGTTAACTCCTGTTAAATGTTAATGTTTGGTCTTCTACAATAGGATATAAGTGAGACTGAACTGGACTGGATTTCGCAAGCATCTCTAAAATGAGGGCTTGAATGAAATTCAATCTGTTGACCGTGGGATGCGCTTAGCATAAAGTAATTAAACTGCTTCTGTGCACCTACGAAATTTGTTCTGCAGTCTGAATAACTCATTCTAACATAACTACGACGGCCAAGAATTCTACGTAGCCCTATAATAAACACTTCGTTAGTTAAATTACTAACTGTTTCAACTTGGTCGTAAAGCAGACGAAAAGACAGCGGTATGACTTTTCGATTTTTGCTCCTCTATACGTACTCAGTCGAATGCAAAACGGGCCACCATTGTCTTTACTTACAATAGAAAATAGATTAACATCATTATCATGAGAAGCAAGTAGATCACGCAAACGGTCCTAGTGGAATAGGATGAGTACGGAAATAACGTAAACACATCGATCAAACAGTCTTCAGGAGATTTGACAGCATACAGGCAACTGAACAGACAGATTTGCAAATGCATGCGATGGGACTTACGCAATTTCAATACAGCTCGTATTGAAAAAGTGATAGAGCGGAACTAGGGCTCCAAAGTCTTTATCAGAGATCTGTTTGCCAGAAAGAGCCAACTATCGAAGCTGAAGACCGAGTGGTTATATGCCGAGAGGTTATATTGGTAGCTGTACACATCAGCTGGAGCCACACGCAAGTGTGAGTATCGATCCAAGAGCAAGTTTTATCCGACTCGTACGGTAGACGACGTATAGGGCGACCCACACTAGATAGAATGACGACATGGTAAGTCATGCAGGAAGTCGATGGATGCGGGTGGCTCAAGACCATGCTTTGTGGCATTCCTTGGGGAGGACTGTGTTCAGCAGTGGACTTATGGAAGGGCTGTAGGGCTGATGATAATGTTAACTATCGTACTTCCGTTCATTCAAGAACTGCTTGGATTTACGAGTATAACTTCCGTTGCTAAAATTTTAATTCCGCTAAAGTCACTAAAAAGTGTAACTTCAAAAATGTTATGTCTACTTAACTTTGATAATTGCAAAAATGCGTTCAAGTACAGTATCGGTGGTATTTAGTGCGAACTATTTATTAAAATACCCGCATTGCTGTATCACTTCTACTTCGTCAGTACAATTTTTCATCATCAGTCAGATCAGTGACAATCACGAACAAACATTCGATGAAGTTAAACTAGGTTGTTACATTTTACTCGGAGGTATTCCATTTCATTTTCTACTCTCTTACCGATGTCTTCTGCCGAATAGCAGGGTTTGTATTAATTTATTCCAGTTCATGAGCTGCAGTAACTACTTACCTTCAAGTGGACTTCAGTTGGACATTTGTCACTTCAATGTTATAAAAAATCTGAATAAATTCCATAACTAACCTGCATACTGGAGGTCACTCATTATGTGGTAGAGCTACCATGCAGCCATATTGTGGTTGTAGCACGAATAGAACGGGTCGATTGGGGAAGGACCACGTTCTCACAGAATACCAGCTTGAAATGTTAACTCAGTGCTGCTGTGTTTCTTATGGTTAGTGTAGATGAATCTTTTAACTGGTCCTCAGGGATCACAACGCACTTTTATTTTGTTTCTTATCGAGGATAGATGTAGATGGCCTTAGCATCCTCTTACCATGGGGTGGACTGTGTACTTGTTCATAACCCTTATTTTATATTATAAGCATACTTATTTTATAAGTTTGAAATAAGGCCATTAATATCTCATGGCCGCCGATAAATAGCGATATTGTCTTTTCACATAATATGTCTGATAAGTAAACCTTGGTGAGTGAGAATGGCAAAAATGTGAGACGTCTGGAACTAGATAGAGCGATTGCTAATCCGCCTTCGGAACGTGGCAACTATAACAGATCCTCCATATTGTAGAAGAGGTACAACTTATAATAATCAAGGTGACTACTTAAATCATTTTACAAAATGATTAACTAGTAAACAATATTAAAAATCGATATGTCTCATTTGAATAAAATTTAATTGATTATTATATTTGTGTTATTTAATTTAAGGACTACAGTCCCGTGTGTTTAGTAATAAAGTCTCTCATAGCCGGAGCTGAGATGTCGGTGAACACACTCGGTGATAATGGCTGCCCACATCCACGTCCAAATGACACGATTCCTCTGGCTACACCGTCGATTACACCAACTCCTCCGGAATCACCCTAAAATGGTAAAAAATAAAATAATAAGTAAAGTTGTTTCACAGTTAACCGTAGGCCTTTTTTTTCGAAAGAAGACCTTTGGACAAGAATTTACATATTCTCGAAATACTTCAATAAGCTCTTATTAAAAATGAACTCAGAAATGATTTAATTATTTGTTTTCTGCAATTCATTTACAATTGATTATTTAAGTTCCATCTGTTAAAACGAACATGCAGGGTTTCATAGTTGCAGCACAAATTAGTTGGCTTAACTGGAGTAACACGCTTGCATAGAGTATAAGGGTGAAATGGCAGTATAATGCGGTTTTCGTATGGTAAGTGACTAGAACTGGAAAAACTTCTCCCTGGTAACTAGGTATTGTATTTTAGTCCTTAAGTTTGACAACGCATCTGCATTTTGATTTTTAATCATAATTGATTCTTATTAGTAGGTACCCTGACACCATAGCATCCACTTAATTTCAGGTGGACTATGTGCTCGAATATTACCTTTAATGTTGGTTAATTCGTACGTACTACTCCTAGGCACAGGACTCCTCTAATTTCTGAGGGTTTTTAGGGCAATTTAATATCCACCGTGCTGCTCCAGTTCTTGTTAGCGCACTTCACATGTTTTCGTTTTTCTGACATGTTGAGTTATTTACGATGTTTTACTTCTCATTGGTGCCGGCGGGGATCGAGCGCGGGTAGCTTTGAGCACTAAGCCCCTGAGCTACCAAGACTATATTATATCAACCTTACTTTTACAAAAAATATTTTACCTGACATGTGCTCTTTCCGCCAAAGAAGAAATTACCGGCGCAAAGCATATTTTCGGTGATGTTTACCGAAAAATATGCAGTTTGACATAGTGTGTGATCCACCACCGTTAGATTAACTGCCATTAGTCGTTCGGGAATACTAGAAGCACCTTGCTGGGAAATAAATATTTTGTAAGTAATGTTATTTGAAAAGTGTGGCCCAATGGATCAGTAGGCTAATGGATAGTAGACAATGGTTCAGTTATATAACTCGTAGACCTGCCTTCAATGGAGAAGAAAGATTTTCAAGTAGCACTCCCTTCTTCCTCAATAAGTGCAGTGTAAACTGATGAAACAAGATCGATGATTTAATAAAGCATAGAGTCGATGAATGTAGATAGCACAGTACCGTATTTTGTGGGTAGGGTACCCACAAAACGCGGTACTGTGGCTCCTAATGTAAGCAGTTGGCTACTGATGGGTTGTAATGATGTTAATGATGACCATTTTTATAAAATATATTTTATAAACTAAGGGTGGTATACGAGCTTGTCACACAGTCCACCTGATGGTAAGTGGCCCATAGATACCTATATTTATTCTCGATTAAGAATAAACGTGTAGAGGGGAGGCCCATGTTCATCAGTAGGTTTTGGCAGGGTGACTTGATAAAGAAGAAGATGAATTTCGCAAAATTATTTTCTTGCATTTTCTTGTACTATTCAGATTTATATAGTAAATTATTATTTCCAAATTTTTTCATAGTTACGTATAAACTATCAAGTGGAATAGATTAGTTCTAGGAATATTTGCAAAACGTGGTTAGAATGATGAATTTGCAATATTTATAAATAGTAATACCTGAGTACGTCCCCATCCGCTTACGGTCATAACTGTTCCAGACTTCGCAGTTAGGCCTTTCGGTGGTAACTTTATCGGCTGTGTGCAGGAATTGAACTCGACTGACTCTGCTGTCTTCATGACGGCCACGTCTTTATCAAATGGTGGGTTGTCGTAGTCCGGATAAGGAGTTACTTCAATTATTGGTATGATAGTACCATTTGTACGGAAAGTGCTTCCTGACCTAAGCACTACAGTGGTTGGATCAACGCTGAAACAGACAAATCTATGAATTAAGACAAATTGAAATTATATAATACCAAAAATATTTGTGTTCGAAAGATTGTCTTTACTGATAATCTTAAGAATTTAATACTCAGAGGTAGTTGCGAGCATTAAATTTCATAGCATTAGAAAAACCTCCGGTTCAACGTATTACGGTTGTAGCATGAATGTGTCGGCTCAATCTAAGAAGAACTACACTCGCACAAAAAACAGTGCGATTTTTTTATAAGGCAACAAATGAGCTCAGAGTTCACCTGATAGTTAGTGAGTGATACGGCCCATAGACGAGTACATCTCTTCTCGATTAAGAATCAAAATGTGTTGTCACCCCTCAGGACCAAGATGGATTATTTCGATCGAAGCACAGCTAAATTATAATGTTGCTATTTGGAACTATTAAAAGGCATTACAAATTCTAAGCGATTTAAGGTAGTCAGTTCTCTTTCAGAAATAAAGCTATCAGAAAGACTTCATCATCATCATCATCATCATCACAGCCCTTCACAAGTCCACTGCTGAACATAGGCCTCCCCCAAGTAATGCCACAAAGCACGGTCCTGAGCCACCTGCATCCATCGACTTCCTGCATATCTTACCAGGTCGTCACTCCATCTAGTGGGGGGTCGCCCTACACTATGCCTACCGGTACGAGGCTGCCACTCGAGAACCTTTCTTCCCCATCGGTTATCGGTTCTTCGAGCTATATGGCCGGCCCATTGCCACTTCAGCTTACTAATCCGTTGGGCTATGTCGGTCAATCTGGTTTTACTGCGGATATCCTCATTTCTGAGTCTATCACGCAGAGAAACTCCGAGCATAGCCCTCTCCATAGCTCGCTGAGCGACCTTGAGCGTCCTCATACGGCCAGCAGTGAAGGACCACGTCTCTGATCCGTAAGTCATCACTGGCAACACGCACTGGTTGTACACTTTAGTTTTCAGAGATTGAGGTATACCTGACGAGAAGATATGTCGTAATTTCCCCGAACGCTGCCCAGCCGAGTTGAATCCGTCGATTGACCTCTCGGTCGAAGTTGGACATACCTAGTTGGAATATTTGTCCCAGGTAAACGTACTCATCAACAACTTCGAGCATAGTGCTCCCAACAACTACCGGCATAGGTGTGACATGGACATTAAACATAATCTTTGTTTTGTCCATGTTCATCTTAAGACCTATCCGTTGGGAGGCACTATTGAGGTCATTGAGCATAGTGCTTAAGTCCTCCAGCGATTCTGCCATAAGGACTATATCGTCGGCAAATCGAAGGTGAGTGATGTACTCGCCATTGATGTTAATACCGTATCCTTTCCAGTCCAGTAGCTTGAAAACGTCTTCCAAAGCAGCGGTGAAGAGTTTCGGGGATATAACGTCACCCTGTCTTACACCTCTCTGCAGTTGGATAGGTTTCGAGCTCTGGTTCTGTACTCGGATAGCCATCGTAGCCCTACTGTACAAACACTTCAGCACTTCGATATACCGACAGTCAACTTGGCACCGCTGAAGGGACTGCAGCACCGCCCAAATTTCGACAGAATCAAAGGCTTTCTCATAGTCCACATACGCCAGGCAAAGTGGCAAATTGTACTCTTCAGTCTTCTGTACAATCTGCCGCAGGGTATGTATGTGGTCTATGGTACTGAAGCCTTTTCGGAAACCGGCTTGTTCGGGAGGCTGGAAGTCGTCGAGTCTGCGTGCGAGACGATTCGTAATGACTCTCGAAAACAGCACGTAGACGCGGCTCAGAAGGGAAATCGGTCTGTAGTTCTTCAAGAGAGCGTTGTCGCCTTTCTTAAAGAACAAGACCACCGCACTTCTGCTCCACGCCTCTGGAGTAGTGCCACCATGGAGGACGGAATTGAAGAGCTTCTGAAGGACTTCAAGTACCGGTGTTCCACCCGCTTTCAGAAGCTCCGCTGTAATTCCATCCTCGCCTGGGGCCCTGCCGTTTTTAAGGTGCTGGAGAGCCATTCTAATCTCGCTTAGACTGACGTCCGGGATATCATCGGAATAGTGTCGGATAAGACTTGCTCTTGGATCGTTACTCACACTTGCGTGTGGCTCCAACGATGATGTGTACAGCTGCCCATAGAACCTCTCAATCTCACTCAAAATCTCAGGTGTCCCGGAAACGATGCTGCCACACTCAGTCTTCAGCCTTGACAGTTGGCTCTTTCTGGCAGACAGATCTCTGGCAAAGACTTTGGAGCCCTGGTTCCGCTCGATCGCTTCTTTAATACGAGCAGTATTAAAGTTGCGTAAGTCTCGCCGCATGCATTTGGAGATCTGTCTGTTCAGTTGCCTGTATGCTGTCAAATCTGTTGACGATTGCAGCCTCATCTCCCGTCTAACAGCCATGAGATTAAGAGTGTGATCGGAGAGTTTTTGTGTTCTTCTGCGGCGGGTCTTGCAGAACTTAGCTCCGACCGCATGGACAGTTTCCACGAGCTTGTCATTCATATCGTCCACTGCATTGCAATCTTGTAGGCACTGAAAGCGGTTGTGTAACTCGAGCTGAAAGTTTTCGGGATTTTGGATCAGAGCACGAGGGGGACGGAGCGTTGACTTCATTAGACGAGACCTCTCCAACTTAACGTTTAGGTTCAGTGTGCCTCTAACCATTCGGTGATCGCTGCCAGTTTTCACCCTTGCGATCACTGAGACATCACTGAACAGTTGGCGTCTGGTCGTCATAATGAAGTCAATCTCATTTTTTGTCGAACCGTCGGGGCTCGACCAGGTCCACTTCCTGTGGGGCCGCTTCTGGAAGAAAGAGTTCATCATAAAGAGTCCCTCTTTCTCCATAAAGTCGGCCAGCTGCTGGCCCCTTCGGTTCCGTTGCCCTACTCCAAATTTCCCTAACTTCAGCTCACCGTTTTCTCTTGTGCCTAGTTTTGCGTTGAAGTCTCCCATCAACACCGTGTAGTGGGTTTTGGAGGAATGTATGGCTTTGGAAATATCCTCATACATTTCCTCCACCTCCTCATCGGAATGTGCCGACGTTGGTGCGTAAACCTGTATGACCTTCAGCGAATACCGTTTGGTGATTCTGAGTATCAGGTACGCGACCCTCGTCGACACACTCTCAATCTGTACAACGTTGTTGACGAGAGACTTGTGGACGATAAATCCGACACCTCCTTGGGACAGATGGTCGCCCTCCCGGTGATAGAACAAGTTGCCGGATTCGAGAATCACCGTGTCCACCTCTCTTCGGACCTCGGATAATCCTATAATACTCCAGCGCAACTTGTCTATCTCTTCTTCCAGCTCCAGGATCTTCTCGTCAGTCCTCAGTGTGCGTGCGTTAAATGTTGCCAGGTCGAGTCGTCGTAGGTGGCAACCGAACCTCCACCGGAGATTCTTAGCACCCCCTGCCCCGCCGTTACCATGGTCGCCACCGTAGCCAGGAATAGCGGGGCCGCCGGGGACTGGGGGCCGTCTATTTGTGTAATTGTTCATGGGGGGTATATTGCCATAGTTGCCACGCTTAGCGAGCGGGTTGGCAACCGCAGTTTTTTTTTGTTGTACAGTTGCTGTTATCAGGAAGATGCTGCTGCCCATCTCCTGCCTGTCTCCCTCTGTCGCCTCTTACGACACCCACGGGAAGATATGGGGTAGTGGATATTCTTGACCGCCACTACACGAAGAAAGACTTCATTATGATCGAAAGGAATTCTTTGTCTTTCAATTGTATTATTTAGTTTTTAAATGTTGAATACCCCAAATATCTGTTATCAATTACATACTTTTGCGTGCAATGTGCTGCTGTCAAACAAAATCTATCACTGATGAAAAATGCACTGCAGAAATAAGAGTTATTCACAATGAAGCTGACTTGGTGAGGGAACTCCTCACACGTAGCGTTGCGGCCACCGACTATTCTTCCATCAGCTACTTCCGTTCTTTCATTATCTTGAGAAATTTTGTCCGTTATTGAAACTTTTTCTGATATTATTATTCCTAAAATAAAACAAAAAAGTAAATTTTAATTACAGAAATTCTACTATTGAGCCTGGCTTTCTCTCAATAATAAAGTAGTGAAGTGGTATGGGGATGGTGTGAAAGCAGTTGCGTACATTGTATACGTTGATATAGTTCAAATTATGTCCCTACTAACTCAAAATTTATACAATTAAAGACTGGGAACCTGTTAACACCACAAACCAGCGTTAAAGTACTAAAATTTCTGAATGAAAATTAAGTTACTAATATTGAAATGTTGTTAATAAATAGTTCCAAAAATCAACTTAACAATAGTTCCCATATAAAAAAATTTAAGCAATGAATAAACTCTTATGTTATTAATAATTTACATAGGTTTGATAAAATAAGAGAATTTAAGAAAGGCTTGAGGATTCTTAGCTTAAATTTTGAGGGTCACGTCACAGTTTATTTTCACTTTCATTATAGTATTATGTTTGCAATGAACCATTATATAAAAAAATCAAATGGATACCATTATAAGGTAGCCAAAATACATAACACATTATATAGACACACAATAGTCTCAAAGCAATAAAGAAGCATAAAGGTAATTAAGTGGATGGTGGTTTCTATATGTTATTTATTGATACACAAAACCAAAAACCCTATTCGATGGATTAAAACAATCAAGAAAAGATAAATAATATAACCATGGTGAAATAAAAATATCCAAAAATTGGATGGCTCCCTTATGTGCATGAACCATAAAAAGAAAAACCAGTCAAGAGCGTTATACAACACAAGTAATATGTAGTATATATTACGTGTGGGATTTGCTACGATTTAGTTTTTCATCGAATACGCCAAAACTCACTCGAGGACATAGATATTTCCCAGGTTAAAATATAAACAGCTATCAAACACCACATGATTCTATCTCAATTCGCCAACGTATGTCCCACTACTAAATACTTGGAGATATGTGGGCAAGTACAATAAACAACAGTTATTTATGTTGATACGAATGAGTTGTAATTATTAATATATTCTGTTTTAATTAGCCACCATCACTATTAAAATTACAGATCTGGTAAAACCTTGATGACAAAACTACAGGACAACTTCATATTAGAAGTTGACACCAATTTGAGTTCCGTTTGGTTAAGTTAAATTATGAAATAATAAAATAGAAATTTGATATTACGTGGGAGAATTTTCTTGAAGGTTCCTAAGTCGTAATTTTCTTGAAGGTTTCTAAGACGTATCGGTCCGGAGAAATAGCCGATGGTAAACCATTCCACAAAGCAGTCGTGCTTTGAAGAAAACTCCTAGTAAATTGCAAAGTAGTGAACCGCTATGCATTCCAGATGATGTGAACCTTTTTGAATATCCATATTTTTGAAGGAAAAGCCAATGCGCCTTTCGTGTTACTCTATCAAATGCTTTCTCTAAATCGACAAATTACATGTAAAGGGACCGTTGACTGTCGAGGCTTTTATCCTGGAGTTACCTTATGATAGAAATAATATGAATGGTTCTTCTGCCAGGGCAGAAACTCTCTCTGAGATTTAATGTTCTGCTCGCTCGTTAGGGAGGGTATAAATGATGTGCGCGAGGATATTACCAGCGCTGGAGAAAGGCGATATGCCTTGGTAAGAGTTGCAGTCGGATATATCTCCCTTTTCCTTGCACAGCTTACAAATAATCCCATCGCTCCATTCCTGAGTTACTTTTTCACTGTCTCATACTCTTAAAAATTAAAAAAAAATATATTAACTACGATCCGCGTAATATAATAAAATTGTGTTTCTTACCTAGTTTGAAGAGCACCTCAATTGCAGCACTATCCCCGTCACTACTAATCCCAGCACTACAATACAGAGATAGTAAACAAAACCGCTACACTAGGAAAGACAAACCAGAATTGACGTTACATTTTCTAACACCATTTTCCATAGATCATAGTCGGTGCCAACACGGGCGTTAGAGTACCTTAAACAACTGATCTTATCATGTTTTTGAAAATTTTCAAGAGTTGAAAAAATTGTTGGTATAATGTCTACTTATCCTCATCCGGTGACGGTAGATCTATAGTGACTAGACTTAGAGTCATAAGATGGTCATTAATGCCCTCTGGTAATTCACTCAAATTTCTCGTCTAACTATTGGGAATAGCAAGACCTAAGCTGCTACCCACCCTTTCACCTGCAGGAAGTCCGCTCTAGTATATGTGTAGCTGCTAAGTTTTTCATATAGCTCTACACAACCGCTCAAGGGGGTCTCGCTAATTGAAACAATATCAATTTTATATCGAGACAACTCTCTTGCGATAAAAACTGTTTTTCTCTCTGGATATAAATTGCAATCACTGTCCAATAAAGTCGTACATTCCATGAGGCTGTACAGTTGTTTGGTTCCTCTGTACCTTTAACTTACTCTTACCTTTCGACCGCATTAGCTGATTGAATTCGAAAAGGCCTTAACTAGGGTTATTTGCACGTGAAATTATTTATAGTTGAATAGCGGTTTCGCGAGTACAATTCCACTTCACTCACCCCTACCTCCGTGACACAATGGATCGGTAATCCGGTACGATCGGCAGAGGATTGGATGCAGCAAAAAGGCCATAAGTCACTGTATGGATTCTGACAAATGCTCTTGAGGTTTTTCGCATTACCCTGCTACATCGATAGTCGAAAGCATATATCATATGGCTGCAGACTTTTGTTTACAGGAATCATCCGGTAACTTACCTACAGATGTTTGTTTAGCCCACGGAAGTGGTTACCCAAGGTGTGCTGTGACTACAGCTTATTGGAGTAACTAGAGAAGAGATTGCGGTGGTTAAATTGTGTACTAGAATAGTTCCCAGAGGTTATTCATATCGTGACGGCCCATTATTATTATAAATAATTCATAATTAATTTCTATAATAAGACGTCAAAAATTAATTTAGAAAAAAAAACTTAAAAAATTAAAGTCACTGACCTCTATATACAAGTACGCTGGACTGGATATACAAAATGTCTGTGCCAATTTAAAGCGCCCACTATTTGCCGTCCTGGAAACTAAAATTGACATAATATCTGGCGTAGGACAGTTGCCTGGGATGACAAAAATTCAATTAAAGCTGGCGCCATTCATAATTTGTTTCCGAAAAAAAAAAATGTTTATAGTTGGTTATGATAAGATACAGATGTCACTACTTTGGAAAAATAAATTGAAATTTACTCATAAAATAAAAATAAGTGCACAAAAATTTTATCGGTGATTTTATTAATAATAAACTATCATTTTAACATAAAACATAATATATAGGAATAGTTGGATCATAATACTGGTATTATATATACAAATTATAATCAGGTAGGTTTCCGAAGTAGAACCAGAATAACCAACCTAGCCAAATAGCAAGGCCGGCCATATAGCTCAAAGAACCGACAACCGATAGGAGGTTTCCGAGTGGCAGTCGATAAGCGAATTTAGGGCGGCCCGCCTCTAGATTGAATGAAGGCTGGTAAGAGCTGCAGGAAGTCGATAAATGCAGGTGGCTGCGCTTTAAGGAGGCTTATGTTTAGCAGTGGACTTATTGTAATAATAATAATAAATATTACGTCAGCGCAGTCAGTCAGCACCATGCTAAGAGGTGTTAGTGCCGTGCCTCGGCAAAAATTGAAGGTGCAAAGGCCCGCTTGTGCACATGGCCTCACCATGAAACGACGCCGGGTCTGGGCGTCTCCCGCTAAATGACGCCCTAAAAATGGATGATGGAATTAAATAGAACGCGCAAAGGGCCGCTGCCTGGAGGTCGCCAGGGCGCGTCTGGAGCTGGCGCTGGACGCGACAGCATGCGAACCGCCAGCCGAGCGCGAGGTGCTGCACGACCACCCAGCAGCCCCTCGCATCCATCATCCCCACCAGCTGGCTTGGTGTCGGCAGGGTCTTCGCGGGCCCAGCAATCGGCACCCGCCTCTGGTGGAGTACGCCGCATGCTTTGGACAACCCAGATGAACAGCAAACCATTGCGGGCGTATTTTAGGGCGAAAGGGGGAGAAACTGGAGGTTTTGCGTATCGGGCAAGGATGCATCGACTTTTTGCTGAGCTGGAGCCATCTGTAACCGTCACCGAGCAAAACCTGGCAGACCGAGTTCGGTATATCTTGCGCTCAAATACATTTGATGTTACCGAACTCGAACGTCTACGACGTAAGGCTGTTCCTTCATCGGGTGAAAATGCTGCGGCTGAGGATGCGGCACCACAACTTGCTGAGCAAACGGCAAATGTGGATGCCGCCGTGAACACGCCAGTTGTGGTTGATTCAGACGATGATGGAAAAGTCGCCCAGGAACTGGAACTAGAGCAAATGAGGAGTACATTGGAGGAGGCGATTGTGGAAACACGCAGTACGCCTCTCGAAAATCGACCGCGACTTCCCCGCTTAACCCTAAGCAAGCGGAATCGGGCTGTAGTGAGGGCTCTGAACCCAATGCTGGTTACCTATTTGGAAGCCAGCCGGGAACTTTGCGAGACGGACCCAATTCTTTTTGGCGCCGCACTGGCAGTCTGCCGTATTATAGGCGCCAAACTTTCCACGGCTGGACGCGCTACTGGACAAAGTAGTGCTATCCCAGCCTGGAGAATAAGAATTGAAGAACGTATCGCAAAGGCTAGGGCCCTCATCGGCAGACTGATATGCTTCAGGTCAGGCAATACCAGGCCAAGGATTGTGCGCACCATCAGGATGGCGTTTGCTGGGACAAATGTTAGTTTGTCCCAGCCGGATATAATGCAAAAACTGACGGAGCGCATAGACGACCTGAAGCAAAGAATCGCTGCTTGGGGAAAGCGGATTCGGCGATATACCGAGAGGTCGACACGGTTCAACCAGAATCGTCTCTTCCAGAGTGATCAGAAGAGGCTCTATAAATCATTGGAGCGATCAATAGTAAGTGGAACGGGCCCAGCACCAAATCAGGCCGACACGGTCGCATTCTGGCGCAGCCTGTGGTCGGAGCCCGTAAACCACAACGAGGGCCCTTGGACGGATGTTGTGGCGAGTCAGTGTGCGGGTATTACGCCCATGGACCCCGTCATCATAACGCCGGATGACGTAGCTGAGGCGGTCCGTAGGGCCCCGAACTGGAAAAGTCCGGGGCTTGACGGGCTGCATCACTACTGGCTGAAGGGGTTCATGGTGTGTCACGCTGTGCTCGCCCGACAGTTTCAAGAGGCTCTCAATCAGAAGTCGCTCCCAAGCCTCTTCACTACTGGGATCACTCATTTGGTTCCTAAAGATCAGGGTGCCACAGACCCGAGCAAATACCGCCCCATAACGTGTCTACCGACCATATACAAGACACTAAGATCCATTTTGAGCGCGAGAATCGCTCGTCACCTGGCCTCAAATCAGGTGATGTCGCGCGCTCAAAATGGATGTCGGGGCGGCGGTCGTGGAACCAAGGAACCACTCCTCATTGACACGGTCATTGGCAAAGTGGTGAAACGCAACCATCAGAACTTCTTCACCGCCTGGATAGATTACAGAGAGGCATTTGACTCGGTGCCCCATACATGGCTAAAGAGGGTCCTCGAGCTGTACAAGATTGACTGTACAGTTCGAGACTTCCTCGAGCAGTGTATGGGGCAGTGGAGTACGATCCTCTGTCATCTAAGCGAGCGGATGACGGCTGCGGAAAGCCGCATAAGGATAAGAAGGGGTATATTGCAGGGCGACTGTCTGAGTCTAATCCGGTTCTGCCTCTCTTTGAACCCTCTCAGTACTTTACTGGAGGGCTCCGGTAGGAGATTTCAGCTTCGGAAAGGAGGTACAAAAGTGATCCACCTTTTCTATATGGATGATCTCAAATTATTCGCCTCCAGTCGCTCCCATCTTATGGAATTGCTAAACATCACTTGTGAATTTAGCAATTCTATTAGAATGGAGCTGGGGACGGATAAGTGTGCGGTCCTCCATGTTGAAAGGGGAAGGGTTGCTAACTCTGAGGACATAGACTTATCTATGCCCGTCAACTTAAGGGCCCTTTCCGAGGCTGAAACATACCGATACCTGGGTATGTCACAGAACATCGGTATCGATGAGGCTGGTATGAAACAGTTTGCGACGTGTTTTATGCACGCTTGACCAAAGTGCTTAACAGCCTTTTGTCCGGTGTGAATAAGACACATGCATATAACGGTTGGGTCATGCCTGTCCTCATGTATACCTTTGGCATACTCAGGTGGAGTCAGACTGAACTTAACACCCTGGATAGAAAAGTCCGCACTACAATGACGTCCCATAGGATGCATCATCCGAGATCGTCGGTAATGAGACTGTACTTGCCGCGAAAGATGCGGCTTCCTGAGCCGCGCCCACCATGCATAATCGCGAAGTGTGCAGCCTCCGTCTTTATTTCCTGGCGAGATCGGGTGATCCATTCTATAATGACGTCATTTCTAGTGATAAAGAACTTACCCCTCTATCCTTAGCCAACGTGCAATGGCAAGACCCGGCAGTACAGAGCATTTCCGACCGGGAGACCGTATAGAAGGAGAAGGAGCTCCACGGGAGGTAGTACAGGGCTCTACATGAACCTCACGTAGATACAGCCGCCTCCCTCAACTGGCTACGTTTCGGTGACCTCTTCGGGGAAACCGAGGGTTTTGTCTGTGCAATACAGGATCAGGTTATTAAGATCAACAACTATCGGAGGTACATCCTAAAGGATGGCACTGTCGACGTCTGTCGAGCTTGTCGCCATCCCGGGAAATCACTTAGGCATGTCATCTCCGGTTGTTCGGCGCTTTCTAACTCTGAGTACTTACACAGGCACAACGTAGTAGCAAGAATTCTACACCAGGAGCTCGCTCTGAAATACGGTCTCGTGGACCGAAAATTGCCGTATTACAAGTATTTGCCGGAAACCGTGCTCGAAAATGACCGCGCCAGTTTCTAATGGGACCGGACCATCATCACAGACAGGACTATTCTTGCGAATAAGCCTGATATTGTGCTGATTGACCGGGCACAGTCAAGGATATTTTTGATCGACATTACCATTCCGTATGACGAGAACCTCGTGAAAGCCGAAACAGAGAAAGGAACAAAATATCTGGACCTGGCTCACGAGGTGACCGACATGTGGGGTGGTATGCCGACCGAAATTATTCCTGTAGTCGTCTCTGCGAATAGGCTAATCCCAGTCAGCCTCTCGGGTCATCTGAGGCGACTGGGACTCCGTGACGGACCGCACCGGGCTCAAATGCAGAAGGCGGTGCTCCTCGATACCGCCCGCATCGTCCGCCGGTTTCTTTCCCTTTCCCCCTAACCCTCGGCCATTTGGTCACCCCTGCCGAGGGCTCCCATCTGGTTGGACCTTGTTTATTTATGTAGTTTTTGTATTTATTTTATTTTATTGATATTTTTGTATATTTATCTTTTCATTTTAATTTATAATTATATATTTATTATAGAACCCAATCAGGTGAGAAAATTATATAGATACCCCAATAATAATAATTATAATATATATATATATATATATATATATATATATATATATATATATATATATATATATATAATAGGTTCTACAAGGCTCTACATGAGCCTTTCGTAGACACAGTAGCCTCCCTCAACTGGATACGCTTCGGCGATCTCTTCGGGGAAACCGAGGGTTTTGTCTGTGCAATACAGGATCAGGTTATTAAGACCAACAACTATCGGAGATACATCCTAAGGATGGCATCGTCGACATCTGTCGAGCTTATCGCCATTCCGGTGAGTCACTTAGGCATGTCATCTCCGGTTATTCGGCGCTTTCTAACTCTGAGTATTTGCACAGGCACAACCTAGTAGCCAGAATTCTTCACCAGGAGCTCGCTCTGAAATACGGTATCGTGGATCGGAAATTGTCGTATTACAAGTACTTGCCGGAAGCCGTGCTCGAAAATGATCGCGCCAGGCTCTATTGGGACCGGGCCATCATCACAGACAGGACTGTTCTTGCGAATAAGCTTGATATTGTGCTGATGGACCGGGCAAAGTCAAGGATATTTTTGGTCGACATTACCATTCCGTATGATGAGAACCTCGTGAAATCCGAAACAGATAAGCCAACAAAATATCTGGACCTGGCTCGCAAGGTGACCGACATGTGGGGTGGTCTGCCGACCGAAATTATTCCTGTAGTCGTCTCTGCGAACGGGCTAATCCCAGTCAGCCTCTCGGGTCATCTGAGGCGGCTGGGACTACGTAGCGGACCGCTCCAGGCTCAAATGCAGAAGGCCGTGCTCCTCGATACCGCCCGCATCGTCCGCCGGTTTCTTTCCCTTTCCCTCCTAACCCTCGGCCGTTTGGTCTCCCCTGCCGAGAGCTTCCATCTGGTTGGGCTTATATTTCTTTATGTATTTTTGTATTTATTTTATTTTAATTATATTTATATATATTTATCTTTTCATTTTAATTTATAATTATATATTTATAGAACCCAACCAGATGAGAAAACTATATAGATAGCCCATATATATATATAATAATTGAAGGCACAGACGACTTCTGTCGAGCTTGTCCCTCGGTCTCGGTGAATCACTTATGCATGTCATCTCACATTGTTCAGCGCTTTCTAACTCTGAGTACCTACATAGACAAACCTAGTAGCTAGGTTCTTACACCAGAAGCACCCTGAAATACGGTCTCGTGGATTGTAAACTGCCTTATTATAAATCCTTGCCAGAAGCCGTAGTCGAAAATGACAGCGCGAGGCTCTACTTCGACCGAACCGTCATCATGACTATTCTTGAGAATAAGCCTGATATTGTGCTGATAGACCAGGCACAGTCAAGGATAAGAAGTACTCGTCGTACGGATTATTCCGTACGATGAGAACCTCGTGAAAGTCAAAACAGATTAGCGAGAAAAATATCTGGACCTGGCTTAGGATGTCAACTACATGTGGAATGGTTTGCCGACCAAAGTTATTCCTATACTCGTCCGTGCGAACGGATTAATCCCGGCCTATCTCCCGGGACATCTACAGCGACTGGAACTCCGTGGCACACCACTCCGGACCTAAGTCCTCGATATCACCTGCATCGCCCGCCAGTTTCCTTCCCTTTCCCGCTTCCCTCAACCGTTTGCTCTCTCCTATCGAGGGCTTCCATCTGGTTGGGTCCTTATTTATTTATGTGTTTTTATTTATATATTTTACTATATTAAATGTATATTAATTAGTTTATTTTGTATATTTATGCAGCCACACCAGAAAAGAATATTACATTTATACCTCACAATAATAATCATTTGGAAATTTGAATCTATTATTTATGTTAAGCAAGTTTCTCAGTTTTTTGTTACCTTGTTTTTGTTTAGTTACGTTATGTATGCAGTGTTAATATTTCTAAATTTTTAAATGGGTCAGAACAGTCATAGTAATTAATTTTAACGTTATTAGGTATAAATAATTCTAGTTGTAAGTTATAAATCTCATGCAGGTAAGTTACTAAGGTCATAACTAACAATGAAATCTATAGTTATAGGTAATGAAATAATTATTTAAAGAATTATTCTCAAATAGAAAAAGAATATTGGCGTAATCTTGGGTAAGATATAATTTGAGAGATAACGTTGTGGTGATATTAGAAACACGTCACAAATTTCTTGTTTTAAAATCGAAAACCAAGTTTATTGACGATTTTCTCCTAGATTGTAACACTTTAGATTCTGCACTGATGTAAGTTACTCAGGACCGTGCTTTGTGGCATTCCTTGGGGGAGGCCTATGTTCAGCAATGGATTTGGGATGGGCTGTAATAATGACGATGATGATGTTGATGATGTTGATGATGATGAGCTATTGCTACGGTATGGAATATTCTTAAATTATTATATGTTTTCATATATTTACGCGAACACGACATATTTAAAGAAAACTAATTTTGACGGATTTTATCGCGTATATTAACTTATTTATATTCCCAACGTTTCGAGCACTTTATAACTTGATGACAATGATGTGCTGTAAAGTGTTTGAAAAGTCGGGAACATAAAATAAGTTAAAATACGCGATAATATGCATATAAACTAGTTTTACTTAAAAAAATACATTTGTCTTCTGTAGTAACAGACCTTGCAAAGTATTAATGAGTTTGGGCAAATATTTCCAGGAAGATGACAAATGGCTCTTTTTTAAATTTGCCTGTATCAGAAGGTTAAAATGGCTAATACAGTAATTTTTTTACTGAGAAGTAATGTCATGCAATCGTCGTCTTTCTTTCACAGCTTATATTAATTCTGTTATATCTAAAGCTATTCAACTAGACGTATTTTTATAGTATATACTTTAATTGCTTTGAATAATTACAACTTTAAATGTCTTGTATCACAATTACTATTTGGATAGCTAATACCAATCTGTAGTAAAAAATTTCTTAATTAAATTATTAAAGTCTAATAAATAATTCTATTATAATTGTTTGTAATTATATTATAATTGTTACAATTAGATGTCAAATACAAATTATTTTTACATTACACATTAATCATTAATAAATGTAAATCGTATCTTATTTTGTTTTCCTGTGACCAAACCTGTATGTAAGGCAATGTTAACAAGGTTAACTATTCATTTTCCAAGATACATCTATTGGAACTAAGTTTCTAAACAAACATAATTTTAATATAGGTTCTAACTAAGACGATCATGCCATAAAAAAATTATCAAACGGCCTATTAAGCTAGGCGATGCAAGATGCACTACTAGTATTAGTGACGATGAGCCGCGTCCAAACGTCTGGTACAGCAATCATTAATCCACCAGAATAGAGTTGTGATTATGAAAAATCCTTTCTACAAAGTAACAGGTTAATATTATATTAAATAGAAAGTGCTTTACTCTCGTTCCATAATCATCTCTCTTTCTCTCCTCGCTTTATACGGGAAAGTTCAGTTCACACCAGCGAGTATTTTTGTTTTTGCGCAAAAACTTTTTTCACAGATAATAAAAAAACTAAAGGCAAGTCCTTTACCTAGAAAAAACCTCATTAAAATGTTTAATTTTGATTGAAAACATGAAGTTAATTTCTTTTAATGTGCCAAGATTGTCTATTATCACACCAATGTCGAGTAAAGTATTGTGCTTTGCACAAAACAACGACCTCGATCTTCTGATATGCCTCTGGCTAAGATCTTGTTAAACAAGTTTATTAAAAAGACGTCAGTCATTTTGCGCTCGTAGCGTAGTTTTCATGTGTTTGTAAAGGTAATATTTATAAAAATATTATTAAATTTACACGAGATAGCGTGTATTAACAAGGCGTACTTAAGTGAGTTTATCAGTAAAATGAAACAAAATACAAGGTATGTAAATATCTAATTTAATTTATTAATTTAAAAAATCAATTTAAGATGAGCGGAATAAGATTCTTAACGTAATAATAAAGGCTTTTAATTTTATCGCGTGACAAGATTGCCTTGTAATAAAAGACATTTTTGAAGTTGTAATTATTCAAGGCAATAAAAGTACTATAAAAACTACGTCTAGCTGAATAGCTTTAGATGTAACAGAATTAATATTAGCTATGAAAGAAAGACGACAATTGCATGACATTACTTCTCAGTAGAAAGTTACTGTATTAGCCATTTTAATCCTCTGAAATAGGCAATTTTAAAAGGTAGCCATCTGTCATCTTCCTGGAAATATTTGCCCAAACTCATTAATACTTTGCAAGGTCTGTTACTACAGAAGACAAATGTATTTTTTAAGTAAAAGTAGTTTATATGCATATTATCGCTTATTTTAACTTATTTTATGTTCCCGACTTTTCAAACACTTTACAGCACATCATTGTCATCAAGTTATAAAGTGCTCGATACGTTGGGAATATAAATAAGTTAATATACACGATAAAATCCGTCAAAATTATTTTGCTTTAAATATGTCGTGTTCGCGTAAATATATGAAAACATATAATTTTTTAAGAATATTCCATACCGTAGTAATAGCTTATCATCATCGACATCATCAACATCGTCATCGTCATTATTACAGCCTATCCCAAATCCATTGCTGAACATAGGCCTCCCCCAAGGAATGCCACAAAGCACGGTCCTGAGTAACTTACATCAGTGCAGAATCTAAAGTGTTACAATCTAGGAGAAAATCGTCAATAAACTTGGTTTTCGATTTTAAAACAAGAAGTTTGTGATATGTTTCTAATATCACCACAACGTTATCTCTCAAATTATATCTTACCCAAGATTACGCCAATATTCTTTTTCTATTTGAGAATCATTCTTTAAATAAATATTTTATATATTTAACTATAGATTTCATTGTTAGTTATGACCTTAGTAACTTACCTGCATGAAATAAATTACGACAGTTCTGACCCATTTAAATATTAGGAAATATTAACACTGCATACATAACGTAACTAAACAAAAACAACGTAACAAAAAAGTGAGAAACTTGCTTAACATAAATAATAGATTCAAATTTCCAAATGATTATTATTGTGAGGTATAAATGTAATATTATTTTCTCGTGTGGCTGCATAAATATATAAAATAAACTAATTAATATACATTTAATATAGTAAAATATATAAATAAAAACACATAAATAAATAAGGACCCAACCGGATGGAAGCCCTCGACACGAGAGAGCAAACGGTTGAGGGAAGAGGGAAAGGGAAGGAAACTGGCGGGCGATGCAGGTGATATCGAGGACTTAGGTCCGGAGTGGTGTGCCACGGAGTTCCCGTCGCTGTAGATGTCCCGGGAGATAGGCCAGGATTAATCCGTTCGCACGGACGAGTATAGGAATAACTTTGGTCGGCAAACCACTCCACATGTCATTTACCTCTTAAACCAGGTCCAGATATTTTGCTCGTTAATCTGTTTTGACTTTCACGGGGTTCTCGTCGTACGGGATAATAATGTTAACCAAATATATCCTTGACTGCCCGGTCTATCAGCACAATATCAGGCTCATTCGGCTCGGTAGAAGTAGAGTCTCGTGCTGTCATTTTCGACTACGGCTTCCGGCAAGGACTTACAATAAGGCAGTTTACAATCCACGAGACAGTATTTCAAGGTGCTTCTGGTGTAAGAACCTGGCTACTAAGTTGTGTCTATGTAAGTACTTAGAGTTAGAAAGCGCTGAACAATATGAGATGACATGCATTCAAGTGATTCACCTGGATATCAACAAGCTCGACACAAGTCGACTGTGCCTTTAATTATTATTATTATTACGGTAAGTCCACTGCTAAACACAGGCCTCCCCAAAGCTCAGCCACCTGCATCCATCGACTTCCTGCAGCTCCTATCAGGTCTTCACTCAATCTAGTAGGGGGCCGCCCTACACTTCGCTTATCGACTACATCTTGGGAACCTCCTATCGGTTGTCCGTTCTTCGTGCTATACGGGCGGCCCATTGCCTCTTCACTGATCCGTTGGGCTAGGTCGGTTACTCTGGTTCTACTTTGGATAACCTACTTAATCATAATAATGTAAAATCATTATTATTACTAGTATTATGACCCAACTATTCCTTTGTCAATTTTTGCCTCCCTATAATGATGTCGCTCATAATATTAGGATTGGCAGATATTATAATTTTCTTAAAAGGATCATAATGATTTCATAAAGGGTCTTGAATAATTTATTTTATTTTTGAAAATCCCTCCGTTGAGGAAAAGCTCACAGAAATGGAGTAACACATTTTAAGAGTATATTTAAGAGCTCCATGTAATTTTTTTGATTTGCCATCTACTTACACAGTTGACCAATCCTATAAATTGCTCTGATTTTTCTTTAGGCTGTGTGAACTTTAAAATACTGCCAACTCTACCTGGACCTAAGCTATTATATACACTAAGAACTAATTACATGACCTAAATAAGTGTTTTTAGGAAGCCAAAAATACATTCTTCTTTATTATCTTTAATTTCCCTAAAGATTCCTTCAAATAACATTGTAGGACTAAAGTAAAAAAAGTAAAGTTACAGCCTATATACGTCCCACTGCTGGGCACAGGCCTCCTCTCATTTCTGTGAGGGTTTTAAGGCAAGGAATAGTCCGCCGCGCTACCCCAATGCGTGTTGGCGAACTTTACATGTCTTCGAAATATTTTTTTTTTCTTATTTCTCAGACACGCAGGTTTCCTCACGATGTTTTCCTTCACCGCCGAGCACGTGGTAAATCAGCACTTAAATTGCAATTAACAATTTCATTGGTGCCGGCGGGAATCGAACCTGGTTTGCTCGCAGTACCTTGTACGACTAATAATAATAATTTTAGAGCCGATTTCGGCTACGGTGACAAAAGTTACTGGACTACTACTGGCGCCTGGAACTTTAGTAAAATGCTCTGGGCTGATGTAGCCAATGCAGGAAATGTGCTATACAGCAATGATGATGTTCACATAGTTGTAAACATCATCTATGTCATCTGTTGGTCTGCTCTTGATTACAGCAGGACCTTTTCTATATTCAGCATATTATATAAGTATATTATCTACATGTACTCGTATGATTACCTTCTAATTAATTGTGATTATACCTGAAAATTTATTTATTTGTTTCATTTTGTGATTTGTTCCAACACATGCGCTTATTTCAACCTAAATATATCTAGTTCTTAACCAAATCACAAAAATGAACATGAAGATTCGATAAGGGACAACAATCGCAAGTATACATAATTTATTTATGCTATCTTGTTAGATATCTTAATGAAAGGGAATACAAATGGCAGACTAAATATTCCATAGAAAAATATTCAGCAGAGAAATGAGTAATATTAGTAGTAACATATATTAAACGTTTAAATTGAGTTGATATTGCAGATAGTTTACGTGAGTTTCTATCTTTTTCTAGATACCTATACATATAGATAAAATTACATAAGGAGTACCCTTTACCGACGAGTGTGTATGCGTAGATATATGGATGTAAAGGAGGCGAGAAAAGTAAGTCAGAATCGTGTCAAATGGAAGTCCGTAGTAAGTAAGTAAGTAAATAAGTAGGCAGAGGCCTGGCATCTGAGCCACCTGCATCCATCGGCTTCCTGCATGTCTTACCAGGTCGCCACTCCATCTAGTGGGGGGTCATCCTACACTTCATCTACCGGTACGAGACCGCCACTCGAGAATATTTTTCCCATCGTTTGTCGTTTCTTCAAGCTATATGGCCGGCCCATTGTCACTTCAGCTTACTAATCCGTTGAGCTATGTCAGTCACTCTGGTTCTACTGTGTACATCCTCATTTCATTGTTTATCACGCAGATAAACTCTGAGCGACCTTAAGCGTCCTCATACGGCCAGCAGTGAATGACCCCGTCTCAGATCCATAAGTCATCAATAAGAACATGTACTGGTTGTACAGTCTCGTTTTCAGATTTTGAAGTATAGCTGACGAGAAAATATGTCGTAATTTCCCGAACGCTGTCCAGCCTAGTCCGACTAGGTAAGTCCAACTTCAGTGGATATAGTCTCTATAAATTCTATTTCTCGATTTTGTCCTTTTAGTAATACTTCTAGAGGTGATTCAAATAAAGTTGGTACCTCTATAGCAGTAAAAACTTCTACAATTATCTTTAACTTTGCTAAGCAATGATATTGGGACAAATTATGTCGTGTATTGAATAAATCTAGCTATCAACTAATTTAATCGTAAATTATGGATTTAAATTAATTAATAGTCATTACAAGTTTATGTAATAGTAAATGCAATAGTAAATGAAGAGAGTTTTCTTTACCTTATTTATATCCTCCTCAACATTGTACTTCACTGAAAACCAGATAGTCGCATCAGATAGTGCATTGTTATTTGCCAATTTTTCCTCAAATTTTTATAATTTTCATAAATTAATTTCCTCAAATGTTTACTCGTTTGTGTGTTTTACTTCTACAATATTCAATCACTTTTTGCGTAGTTTTTATAATTTTTAGACAAGATATCGTTACTTAGATTCCTTATCCGTAACTGAAAAGCAATATTTTTAAGACTTGAATATTTATATTTTATTTATGCCTGTACATAGCTATAAAATTTAATTGTTTTATGAGATTACTTAATGGCTTATTGCATGCTAATGTAAAGTTTTCATCCATAAAGCTGTAAATTTCGTACCAGTATAAGACTACTCCACATCGTCTAACTCATAACAAAAAATATCGGTAAGCAAGTGCAACTGACGTGAGCGACTGGTTCGAGGCAATTACTATTATATAAGGCCATGATTGTTGATTGTATCGTAATTACAGTGTCGAGTGTGACCGTGCACGATTGAGTTTATTGTATTTAACAAATATGCGATATTAGAATGATATATTGATTTGGTCCAGTTTCCG